TTAGTTTTTTTCTTTTTTTTTTCTCTTTTCTTTAATAAATTTTGTGTCGTCTTTTTTTTTCTAAAAATTTTTTACCCAAACACCCCGGGGGGGGGGGGCAAGTGCCCCACCTTGCCCCTGCCTGCGGGCGCCCATGTTAACATCTCGAATTTAAAATGAATATTTATTAAACGATTGCTTCTACATACGTCGATTTTCTCATTAAATTAAAATACTTTCTTTCTACTTTCATTTATTTTATGATAAAATTTGGAAACATTTAGTTTTTTAATAAATGCAAAAAGATAGTTCAAGTAGGGCTGTTTGTTTTAAAAATATTTATTTCAATGTGTACAATGTTTTTAGTGCATTGTAGTCATGGTATGCCCTGTTTGCTTTTGAACGAGACAAGTTGCTTACACTCACACTGAAAGAAAATATTCCCATCTATAGTTCACATCCCTTCCTTCGATTTTTGATTCCAAACATACCATACCCACAACTGTAAAAAAGTAATAAAATAATTCAAAGTGACAGTAATGGCACATTTTTTAAACTGCCAACAAAATTATTTTCCTTAAATTTGTAGATAAAGTTTGGCTACCTTCAATTTGTCTAAATATAATCCAGGTACGTATCTAAACTGGGGCCAAAAGTATACCCCTAGGGGCGCACAGGAACTAGAATGAATTCAGTGCGGAGGCGCCGGATTCATAGACGGCTTGGGCGCACTTATGCTTTTTTCTGGCAAAGCCCCCCACCCCCCCCCCCCGAAAAAAATGTCTGAAAGAAAAACTATTAATAAGCCAAACAATTAAATCACTTAAATCTTACCAAAATGAAGTCCATACCGTGAGGTTATAATAAAGTTTGAATTACCCTACTGTGTTCCACGTATTTGAAATTCAGTGTTGCGCACAGATGTGATGACTGGGTCGCCAGTCAGAAACCAATGTTCCGATTTATCGGGACGTCTGATGCCACGAGAAAAAAAAATGATCCCGTGTTGGGGGTCGATGCGATATTGCGCTCTTGTTACCTGCCAATTTGCGATTGATTGTTTTTGCCTTATAACTCGGTGCGTCTCAAAACTGATGAGTCAGACCCGATGCGGTTTCTAACAGTTTAAAAAAAAAAAAATTTTTTTTAATGTCCTTTTTATTATCTTCTCTCTATTTCAATCGGAACTTTCTTCATGTTCTTAACAGAACAACGTAGTCCTGGAAGTTGCCACAACGCCGAATCTGTCTAGCGATGTCAGTAAAAAAAAAAAGAAAGTTCTTTTGTCTATTTTTGCGATCTTAATTTATATCGTTAGAGAACCTCTGATTGGCTCCTGGTGTCTGTCACAAATGTAAACGAACAAGTTCGGTCGGGACATTTTGTGGCATTCTTGCAATATCATTTAGGATGTAATACATAGGCCTTGTCTTTAGATATTGGCTCCGAATTCTTGGATCGTAATAAATAAGGTTAATGAAATTGATTTTTTTTTTTAAAGAAGAAGGGGGGAAAAAATAGAAAACTAAATCGCCTGAAATAGAATTAAAAAATATCTCAAAACTTCCTTGCACCACTAAATAATTCAGATGGTTAAGTGGCTACTTTTAGGTGTTAGAAAGGTGTTTGAGCCGAAAGGGAAGGAATTGGGGGGGGGGGGGGAAAAGCGTGGGGCTGAGGGGGGGTGGGGGAAATGAGAAGAATAAATGAAAAATTTTTTTCCAAAAAAAAAAAAAAAAAAAAAGCTGGGGTTATAAGTATCCTCGAACCTTAAATTATGACATGAATTAAGGCGCCTTGGCTTCTTGGTTCAATGACCACTGAAACCAGGGTCGGATGACGACGAAATTGGGCCTGATGCTGCAGCGTAAAAAGAGGATATTGTTTTCCTCAGCATTGGTGCATAAACATCCACTTTTCCAGTTCAGCTAATAAAATGATGAGATACTTTGGAGTTTTGAACTTTTCCCTTATATTGGGATCCGCCTCGTTTGCAGCTCCTTCAATGTGGCATTCGCTTTCGCTTATGGCCTGGCGCTGCTAAGTCTTGTATTCGTTGTGTTTACGGTCACCATCTGCTGATGCGTGTCGAATCTGTTCCGCTGAACCGTGTCGGCCAGTGATGCCGTGTCGGCCAGTGATGCCATGTAGCCAGTTGCCGTATCCGGGTTGACTGTAGGATCTTGGAGGCTAATACGCGTTCTGTTGAGACGACCAAGGATATCGTTTCAGGCAATGGCCATAACTATTGTCTCAAGATCTCAATGCTCTATGCAGCCGACTATACCTAAGGCCAGCACTGGACGTTAAAGCTACGCCATAGCGCAAAGACAAAAGTAACTGTATAATAGGCTAAATAGGCAATGCTACGTCTAGGCCACCGCAATTCGGAATCTGAATTTCCTTCTAAGATTTTTTTTAGGTTAACATAGCAAAGGGAAATTGGTTCCGAAAAGGCTTGTCTGTTTTCATCTGGGCTTATTTTAGGGAATGGGCCTAACACTGTAGCATCAATAAAACCCACCTCAATCCGGCCCGACTGATAATTATTCAAATAGATTAGAGAAGAAATTAATATTCTAACTATTCGTGGTCTAACACTAAGTCATCAAAAATATAGTATGCTTATTTTGAGCTTAAATTTCTTTATAATTTTCTACTTAAAAACAAACTCAGTTGAATTTTTGTTAAATCCTTTATATTAACTTTTGTTTAAGGCTTGCAAAATCTTCGGACGGCTAATTGAACCACTTCTCGTCCACCTATCCAGCTGAAATTGGACACAAAGACTCATTACCGATGACAACATATTCTTTAAAATTTTTCAGTTCCAGCCCACAACCCCAACCCCCAAAAATCAGTTTTTCCTGTTTATTATTTTATGAAAAGATAAAGGAAAAACGATTTCACGAAATGAATTCCCGATAACTGCGCCAAATTAGATTCTATAAATAAATATCGCACGTGCGTTTGGTGGGTACAATTTTCTTTCCCCCCCCCCCCCCCCCCCCCGCTTAAATAGTTGGTTTTAAAATGCTGCGGTGTAAAAGTGGGTGGCTCATTAGAATATTTTTATTAATCAGGGGCGTGAAAAGATGTGTGGTTGCGAGCCTTGATTTGGGGGCACAATTAGAATTCTTATTAAGTGCATGTTTTGTCATATTTTCAGCCCATTCCCGAAGCTGGAATTAGGCCTAAATTTTATAAAGGATGTATACGGAAAGCTGTGTTTTCGGGGTCATTTAATTTCCAATAAAAATGTTAAAATTATATTTTTTTTAAATTAAATTTTTAAAAAGTCACATTTTAATTTAAAATTTTAGCATGGCCAACTATATTACATTTATGATACTATTATTTGGTGTCGAGATGTAAAATAACTTTTGAAAATTTATCGTCTAAGCTTTTGCTATGGCTATATGATTAGATATACAAAACAGGTCATCAACATTCTTAACTGGATAATATTTAATTTTATGGGAAATGGTGTATATTTTTAGGCCGGACGTGTAGACACTTCGATATTTTTAACAATCTAGACAACTTCCGTCTAATGACGCGAAACAAATAAAATGGTAAGCAAATAATGCAAGTCAAAGTTCAAGCTGAGGTCCAATGCGAGTTATGCTGTACGCGTACTTTGCATGTCACTTGACATTGTTATAGTTATTAGTTATTAAGTATAAGCAAGTCCATTTCTAATATTAGTAGTAATAGAACCATATAATAGGGCTATCCTATAATCTCTTTATATTATAATTTTAAAATTATTTATAGAATAAATTTGAATAAATCAAGTATACTTTAAGTTAAATACTATGACTATTTACTATTTATAATATAAAATAATACTATATAATATATAATAAATATTAACTATTTATTACTAACTTATACTAATAAGTAAGTAACAATAATAATTAATTAATAAGTACATTACTGACCTTAACTAAGAAAGTAGAGTCACACTTTTGACTTACTGCGGACCACAGTAGCGTAGACTAGACCGTAGTCATACCCACACCAACTTCAATCATAATCATAAAGTTCAACAAATAATTATTATACTTTATTATTATTATTATTATTCTTTAGATTCCCACTGTGGCTAAAATTAAGGACGGATGGATGCCACTGCCACGGCGACTTTTGTGTGTTTATTATAGTTGCAGTGAATTAGGGTTTACGGTTTAGTCAAAGTTAGGTTGAGGGATCGATTTAGGGTTCAGGTTAGGCATAGGAATAGGGATCGATTTTAGGTTCAGGTTAGGCATAGGGATAGATCATTTAGGGATACATTCGTGAAATTCGATAAAATAGTGGCATTCATCCTTAAAATTTACCCCCACTGTTTCTTCCTGATTATCATCATTGTAGGCCTATTGCTTAGTAGTACTGATAAGTTAGCCTTATTGATAAATAATCATCATTCTTAAGACATTAAGTCAAATTTCCAATTAACTATGCAGTTAATAGTAACAGAAAATCCAATTTAATTTATGACATTATTCAATTATTGTTTTTGTTCAATCTTTTTTTTTTATCTAGGGAGTAAACATGAAATCTGCATTAGTGATAGGAGCAACAAGAGGTATTGGAAAACAAATAGCTCTAAAGTTTGCTGAAAATGGTTATGGGGTATGTGTTGCAGCTAAAACTGTAGAGTCCACAGATAAACTCCCAGGTAATATATAAACACCATTAACTATTCATTGGCCAAGGTAATTTAAAAATAAATAGTAAAATGTATTCATTATAGCCATTATCAATATGTGCAGTCTTAATGAAAAAATTAATTCTTAGATCTATATAATAATTGCGAGTGAAAGTTGATAAAAAATAGTTTATTACCTTGACCTTAATCATAGTGGGACCAAAACTGTTTTCTGGTGTATAAATTAAGTGTAAAAATTATAAACCAAGAAAAGGTATCAAATATAAGTTCCAATAATTTTTCAACAGAATGCTTCATTACGGTACTGACAGAACCTGAAGCAAAAATATTTTTCAATTAAATGGAGCATTATTCAAGTGAAGTTTATTTTTTTTTATTAAAGCTAGATATAGATATAGATTATATTAGCTAGAAGTTAAATAATGTGCTTGATGTTTGTTTTATTTTCTTTATCACTGTTTTTAAAAACCTATTTTATAAAGGCACGATTCATGATGTTGTAAAGGAAATAAAAGACAAAGGTGGGAATGCATTCCCAATGAGATGTGATGTCCGTGCTGAAGAAGATGTAAAAAATACTGTTCAAGAGTGCCTAAAGAACTTTGGCCACTTGGATGTTGCTGTGTACAATGCTGGTAAATCACTTGATCATGAACTCATTATAACTATTCACTAGCTTTTGATGTATGGATGCCAGAGTAATGAGTACTTTGTTCATTATGCTAATAAAACTGAGATCCTACACAGATATAAGAAGCCCCATTCTAAAGGCACACTATGTATGTTAATATATAGTACAAAGAATTAAAGTATTTAAAACAAATAACATTTGAGAATAAAAATTAAAAACCTTTTCGTAGATCTATAAGAAAAAAGCAAGCGTCAATAGATATCATTTAAAAAAAACTTTTGTTTTATTGTTGTGTCTTTGGCTTAAAATATGTGTTAAATCCCTGTTAAAATTTTTTGCCAAAATAAAAAGAACAATTGAAAATCATATTAAAATAACACAAAATGAGTTTGACTAAATTTTATAAAGGTTTGGGGAGATTTGTGATCCACTTACTTAATTATTTTGTCAGGTGCTATTTTGTGGAAGAGTGTAATGGAAACTCCACTTAAGAGGTGGGACTTAATGAACCAAGTCAATGCTCGTGGTGCTTATTGTATGGTTCAGAGTGTTTTGCCACACATGCTGGAGAGAAAATCTGGGCGATTGATTCTAGTTTCACCACCAATATACAACAGGTATTATATTGTACTCTTCTTATTTAGTATTTAAAGATGATTTTTAAGAAATCTGTATTAATTTCTTATCTTGAAAATAAATTAATCAAGTTATTTTCTGTATGATATCAAGTTATTTTCTGTATGATGTTTTATCACTAAAAATAAAAGAAGAGGCATTTTTGTTCAGTCACTTTTTAAACAATCCCACATTATGGGAGAGACAAATTGTTTGTATTGTTATTTAGGTGAAAAATGGTAAAAGAAATTAAATGCAAATAATTTAAAGGAACAAAAACAATTGGTTTAGGAAGTAAATATTTTAAACTAAAGGTTGGTACAAATGCTGACTTTATCACTCAAGATGAATGAAAAACTTCTATGTTATTGAGATAATCACTGTGCCGTTAAGCTCATACTTCTCTAAAAGCATATTTACATTATAAAATATTAGAAATTTATCTTTTATTTGCTTCAAAAGTTTTGTTAAAAAAGGAGAATTTTGTACAATTGAATGCTCTTAATTCAACAGATTTTTCAAAGGAAAAACTCCATATTCAATGTCAAAAGTTGCAATGACAGTTTTAGTCCATGGACTTGCCAATGAGCTGCAAGGAACAGGCAAGTCAGGCATTCAATTGAATTAATAATCATTCCACTTGAATTGTATTAATAAAATATACACATTTACATAGTTGATTTGCCTCTGATATTTCCATTTGTCAGGGGTGTCAATCAGTGCCCTCTGGCCAGCAACTGTGGTTGAAAGTCATGTGACAAATGTGAGAAACCTGGCCCCATCATTCATGAGAAAGCCCACAATTTTTGCAGATGCCTGCTTTGGTATTGCTGAAGAAAAGAGTGACAAGTGAGTATTTTGTTATTTTATTTTAGTATTTTATGCCTTAAACTAGTTCTGTGCAGCCTCTCTGATGAGATAGTTTCTATGTGACAATTAAGTGTTCTTTCTCATTAGTGCCAGTAAAACTAGTACTGTGCAGCCTCTCTGATGAGATAGTTTCTATGTGACAATTAAGTGTTCTTTCTCATTAGTGCCAGTTACAATTATGTCTGAAGTAACTTTTAAAAATTAATACATACATCACTGAGTATTTTTTTTAAGGCTGCAGTGGAGGGGCGGGCAACCTTTTTGTGCAGAGGGTCGCATAAAATTTATGTGTTACTTGGCAGGCCCAATGCTATTTTTATACATTGTAGATAGGCTTTGAAAATTTATTCAGAATTTATTCAATTTGATAATAAGCAGTAGAATGAGTTTTTTTGTTTTTTTTGTGAATTAGCTATGACTCTTGTTATTAGTTTTTGATGATTAGTTTTGATGATTTAAAACTTTGTGATAATCAAAATTTCAACGGCTTTTACTAATAATCATTTCCAATTTGTAAATTTTACACAAAAATGTATGGAGTTCTTGGAAGGTCTTGCAGGCTGCATTTAACATTTAGGCCGCATGTGGCCCACCTCTGCTGTAGTGCAAGTTATGTTCAGTCTTTTACAATAGAATTTTCCATATAAAATTATTTAGTTTTGTCAGATATGTTATTTGTATGGTAAGCAACACTTAACAATCATCTAAATATTTTTGTTTTCTCCTTTGAAATCTTTAACAAAGGGTTCAATGAACAAATAGAACTTTATTTATAATTATCAATGAAAATATTGGTTGATGAGACATGATTATCGTAGATGTATTGGATAAAATGTAAGTGAAAAAGATGTTGAAAAAGAAAAATTCTCTATATTTGTTTATCAATATTTATTAAATATTAAAAAATTGTTTTGAAATATTAAAACAATATTTTAAGATAAATTTTGTTTGTCTCCTTTTTTTCCCAGACTGAATGGACTTCCTTTAATTGATGAGGATTACTTGAGGTCAGAGGGCATGACAGATTTCTCTAAATATCGCTGTGATCCAAATCAAGAGCCAGATCGCATGATGCCCAAAGTATTTCCATCTTTGAAAGTAGCTGAGGAATCTGATGATCCCCCAGTGTCATCTAAATTGTGAATTTTTTACAGACAGAAATTATAGATTGCTCTATTTTAAAAAAATAAAAAATGTTGGTGACTGTTGCTTGGAAATTGTTATAATTTTAAATAACACTGCCTTTGTAAATGATGTATTTAAAAAAGTTGTTTATAAGCAATGTAAGGAAAAATTCATGAAAACTGATATGTTCCCATTATATGTCTTCCACATTGACAAAGCTTTTTTACATTTGAATTTTAGATCCATATTGGGAAAAGCTGGAGACACTGAGAATTATTTCCCTTTATTTAAAAAAAAAAGATTCTATTGTTATATTTATTGGTTATTATTTACCGTGTGTTGTGACGGCCTCACAGACAGAAGCGCCTTCAAGAATTTATGCCAAAGATGTTCATAGTCGGTTGTTCTAACTTTTTAAATATGCATATATTTCTCTCAATTTTACCATCTATTTTGATTGTGGTACTCTACATATGTGTTTTTATCTTGGTTTATAATTATCTATTTTCAACTTACTTACAAATATTGACATTTTGAAAAACATTAAGAGTCCCATCTTGTTGCTTTTCTATTTATTAGTTTTTATTTTCCTTTTAAAAAGTTTGCACCATGTAAAAGAAAAATTATTTTCCTCATACATAGCATCCCTATATGACCTTCATTGCTCTTGTCAAATAATTCTGCAGCAATTTTTGTTAATCAATGGACCTGTGATGGTTGAAGTATAAAATTAATAAATTAAATAAATGAATGTTATCTTGCATGCATAATTTGTGTTAATCTACATATTATTTGTGCACATATTTTTTAAAAATACTTAGCACATTAAAAAAAAAATCCAATCTTTTGTTGATTTGTTGATTTAGATAAAAGCCTACTATTCAAAATAAAATTGGATTGGATATAAAAAAAGGATTATTAAATTAAATACCGCAACAATTTGAGAGAGAATATTTGAATGAGAAATAAGAATTAAATGCAAAATTAAATACAAAATGAATAAAAAGTTTCCTTTTATAACAAAAAGCCATGTATTATCAGACATGTTGACAAACCTGTTTTGTTATAAAATACACTTAATATGAGATCTACAATGAGCATGTTTTCATACATGTGCCAATACAAGATGACTCAAGTTTCATTTTAAACAATTTCTTTCAAACCTCATGGATCCATTCTACATTGTTTTATCTCAATATCTCACTTTTTCAACATCATCAAAACATTCCATATCAACATGAAGAACAAATCAATACACTACACATACATCACTGAAAGACTTAAAAATTTAATTAAAAAATTAATAAAACAACTGATTAGCATGAATTAGGAATGTAGAATTCTGGACAATGAACCACACGAACCACGGAATGAAATATAGGGTCAATTTAACCTTAGACACACTGCTCTCCCTTTAGTTCAGGTGACAAGGTCTCACAATACAATAACTACCCTGAAGTGACATTCATATGTACTATGTGATTGACATTTTTAAAGTAGATTTCCTTTAAAAAAAAAACAACCTAAAGCCACCATGGGACTTCAAGACTATGTCCTCAGGTGGGTAATGTCAGTGAAAGGATTATGAATACAAAACATCAAATAGTCTATTCATTTAGTTCTAGACTACATTACAGCAATCAAACTAGTAAAATATATATATATAATAACAGAGGTATTTTAGAGTATTCAAGCAGTACACCTTTCTAAAGTTTTTTGCTCAAATAATGAAGACACATCAGTTCTTCTGTATCTTAGCTGACCTTTTCCATCTGCTTTAAAGCTGTACCGGTACACTCCATGAGGTTTAGCTAAGTAAAAGTAAGTCAAGCTATTTCCCTGTTTATAACTTTCCACTCTTGGTTATTTACAATATAATAAAACAATAAATCAAATAATAATTCACTGCTGTTGAGCCACTGGCATACCAGTACATCATAAATAATGCCATCAAAACCATTATTTCAACTAAGACATCGCATCTAGTGCACAAAGACCCTAAACATCAACATTATCAGCTACACCAGCGTAAATACTCTACAACTTATTATGTATTTGAACCAAAGTATTTTTTTATTTATATTTCCTCCTCACACAGCCTCACCTCTTTATCTAGTTGGCACATCAGTTCTTCAATGAGAGTCTTTAAAATAAGTTAGGACTTGTATCCACACAAATATTTCACGGACCATACAAAATATATTTACAGCTTTATTTATCAACAACTATTCTCCTGAAGGGTTTGTGTCTGACCATCAATAATTTATTGGACAAAAAACAAATCAGTACATGCAACATGCCGTTGGTGCAGTGGGTATTGAGGTCGGTGAGTTTGGATTATAGTCATTACTCGGGGCACCTGGGAGGCCTTAACACCGGCCCTTGCCAAAAGGCACCTAGGAGACTTGGTCCAGCACCAATGACATATTTATGTAAGTGGACATATGTGTGTTTCAATTAAACAGTTATCTACAAGGTAGAAAAACATATTTAGCTAAGTAAAAAAAAATCCATGAAACAAGTCTAAACCTAGTTGACATTCTTTTTTTTCTTCTTTAAATAATATAATTCCATCATGAGAACACATTTAACTGTACATGGGTCTGACAAATTATGTCTTTTGTTCACTGAGTCTTGATAAAAAAAACAAATTATGTTAGAAATTGTAGAGGGGAAAAAACATAATCGCAGGTAAACATTTTTTTTAAAAAGAACTACTTTTCAAATTTTTCAATTTCCTTGATATCGCAAACTTTTCTTCATAACCCTGAAATATCATTAAGTTTTTTGATGTATATCACAGTAAACATATCAAACTTTTACAAGAACCTCAATTGTTTCAATTCTGCCACACAGACATCGTTTTAATGTTGCAACACAGACATCGTACGTTTCAATGCTGTCACACCGAGTATTTGAGCTCCTGCCCATCCACTGTGAGAAGCACTATAGTAGTCTTGTCTATCCACACCAGCCTCACCAACTTCAGGATGTTACTCATGGGGGAGGCTGCAATGGCCGGGGTGGCGAATACACGCAGCTGTTTGGTTTGTTGTGAGCCGATGCCAAACAATGTGCTTGACGGTGTCTGGGGCAATAAGATAAACACACAGCTGTCAGCATAAATGTAACCCAATTTTTTGCTACAATGAATTAATGACAAAAAATATTTGAGTTAAACAAATCCTTGTGCTCACTTTTAATATGTAACCAAATACAGCACAGCTATAAATTATCAATAAAATTAAACATTTTCAGCTAGTTCTAATAAAGTTATTAAGAAGAAGTTTTAATATAAATCATATCCTGATGAAAAAATCAGCACAGCTGCGTTCTCAGTTCATCATTACTTGTTACAACAATGATCAGCACTCCTGACTTACCTGCCAAAACTTGAGTTTATTGTCCACATGAGAAAAAGTGGCCAGATATTTGCCATCAGAGTTGACAGCGACAGCTGTTATAGCTCCTTGATGAGCTGTGATCATCTGCAGTGGACAGATGGTAAAAATTACAGACAAAGTCAGTACGGTATCTTAAGTTAACTATCCAGACAAAAATAAAGAGATATTAATGAACTTACACAAGAATTAAAAAAAAAAAAATGTGTAACTGTAGAAATGTGGTTAGAGAATAATTTCTTGTTGCAATTACGAATAAAAGCATTCCTTTTTAAAAAAAATTACACCCCCCCACCCCCCAACAAGGCCAAATATATCATGAATAGAGATTATTTATAATGTCCAAAAAAGATCAGAAAATGAAATTTAAATTATTATTGTTAATCATGACATTTCATGACTTTGTTTTATAAGAGCGCTATAGACTCCCTTGGATTTGCTAAACAATTGAACTTTTGTCAATGACGGTTATACACACCTGACATCTGGCATGTTGCTTCATCTCATACAAAGCTAAGCTTCCATTTTTCGCCCCCACCCACACTCGTTTGGTTGACTGGCAATAAGCCACCATACTGAATCTGAAAGTTCAAGCAATTAAATTAACAAATATTAAAAACTCTTGCAGTAAAAAAGGGATAATGACTAAGTTACTTAATGTTTTCCCATGTCAAACCAAAACAATTGCCAATCATTATGACCGTGGATAGAAAGGGGAAAAATCCTTTAGGTAATATCTGAAATTCCAAAACTTAAAATATTTATTTTGTATTTAAAAAAAAAAAAAAAAAAAAAAAAAAAGTGTCAAATGGAACAGAACTAAATTATTCATTTAAAAAAATGACTCGCTGCCTGGTGAGGGAAACCCTCCGCACGTCTGCCAGGAACTTTGTAACAACACACCTGCATATGGCTGGGAACAGCTCGGGAAGTCCCTTTGCTTTCAGAGCTGCCAGATCTAAACAAAACATGGTGACATCCATCGCCTGTGATAGTTTAAATAAATGATTAGTCTTCATACTGAGCAAACAAGGCATCTTTAGGACATTCCTTCAGTTAATCTGGTTTAAAAGTAACAACGAACATTAAAGACTCTGATGACAAACGAGACAAGTTAATTAAGGTGATTATGTACTTGCAGAATTAACTGTTTGTAAAGGTGCCAGGGCAGTGGAAGAAAGTAACCATAGTAATTATTATTAGAACTTTAAAAAAAAAAACAATTTCATTTTTTTTTTTTAATGAGCTTTTATAAAAAATAAAGTTTAACAGAAAATTCATCACCTGAAAATAAACACCAATCAAATAGACTAATCAAGAAAGCTATTAAGATAACACAAACTAAACATCCTTCATTTAAAGAACTATTTGAAGAAAAATGCTGATGCAAAAGTTTTTAAAAAATTGGATGTTACATCTAGTATCTCTTCGTCATAGAAACTTAAGATCAGCTGGATCAGGGTGAATCCTTTCTCTTAAAGTTAGGACCAAAAGATATACAAATTCCTTTGTTTCACCATCCTGTATGAATTTACCAGCATGCTCCCCGCAGTTACCAAGTCTAAATGTTCTCTAATTAAGTCGTTATAGTCACTAAAGGAGTTCATTTATGGCTGATTTCTGCATGAGAGAAAAACTTAAGATGTCTTGTGTTTAAATTTTTTTATAATTTTAAAATGTTCTCGTTTAAAAATATGTATTTACTAATGTGCTGAAAATGAATATAAATAATGTAATAAAACATTTCTATTTATTTGAATCAATAATGAATCTTATCTTAAAAGTCAAAATACAATGAATCAGATTTACTCAACATATCACTTCTCAAAGAATACTGAAATGTGGAAAAAAATTATTGATACAGAAAAATGTTATAATTTAGAGGAATACAGATATAGGAATATAGATTTAACCGTCTGTCAAATAAATTCTTATGTGAAAATAAACATGTGTGCCTATGTTACTGTAAACATTCCAGACTAAGCTGGACAGTTTACCTCAACTATGAGATCTGCCACATCATTGGGGATCTTCTCCACCAACAATTCTACAATGTGTAAGATCTCAGCTGACGCCCGGGCCAGGATTATGTTCTGGAGGTGGGCGTTCTGGTGCTGTGTGTTCTGGGCCAGTGCGTTGTAGCGTGCCACTTCCTTAGCCATGGTGATGACGAAAGTTGCTGGCCGGGCGGTGGCGATAAGAGACAGGGCATGCCGAGCGGAACGGCATGCATCAGCGGCTGGTGACAAGGGTAGTCCATATGTGGTGCTGGGAAAATAAAAAAATTAAATTCAGGTGTTAAACATTCACAACATTAGACGTATGTGACATTCAACTAGTTGATTTCAGTTCCATTGAACAATTAAGACTTAAGCATGTCTAACATAAACAGATGCTTAGAAGTAAAAGTTTAAATAGGCAACAAAAATGAAATAATAAGCCTGAGGAAATGGATATGTCTCATTAAAAGAA